GAGGCTCCGTACTGTCCTAAAAAAATTATTTTCGTCAAAAAAATCGGTTTTTGGCTTCAAAAGGTGCGTTAGGTCATCTGAAAAAATCTGAAAAAAATTGAGGTTATGTTTTTTAATGCGAAAAATAACTGAAAAAATTTCCGAGTACGACATCGGCTCATACTGCCGTATCTCGATTTTTGAAATTTTCAATAATTTTTTCTGAAGGCCTGAAGCACTCAAAAAATCTGAAGAAATTCAAGGTTGTTTGGATTGTAGAACAGTATTTTTATGAATTTTTTCAGATTTTTTACTTGCTTCATATCCTCAGAAAAAATATAGATCGAAAATGGACGTTTATACCGGAAGTGGGGGGTAGGAGGGGGGAGGGGGTCTAAAAATTTTTTTTTGGGACCTTTTTTCCATGTACTATAACATACCAAAAGTGCGTCAAGATCGGTGACATACGTGCGCACGGTTTTGTAAAAAAGTATTATTTTGACCCGCATATAATGCTAATCTATTTTTGTATCTCAATACCTCGTCATATGAATTACACACTCCTAAATGATTCAAACTTTCTATTATACTTTTACTTCTGCCAGTTGCATGAATCGCTAATCCGTTCATGATATGTAAAGGAGTCGGTGCGCTACCATTCTTACAAATATAATAAATAATTTGGAACAATGACTTTATTTTCAATTTTTTTGTTTTAGAGAGTCCAGATTTTTTTTTAATCGTGTCATTCATTGAATCAAAATCGTTTTCAATTTCAATCTCGTCATCCATTAAGTTAAACATTTTTTCGTTTCCAATCACTTAAAAACGTTAGTATTTCGCTTGGAATTTCAATATTTTCCCACGAATTTTTTAAAGTATCTTCGTTGCAAAATTTATCATTTAGTTAAAAATCAATGTCTTTTAATGAATTTTTTATTATCTTAGCACTTTCTTTCAAGATATTGTGGGGTTGGATTTTTTACATCACATTATCTAAAGAAATATCACTACTATAAAATGATGCACTTTTCCTTCGATTTGAAGGAATGGAAAACTGAATTTTCTTGTCAACATTTTTTCTTAGGTAATTTTTCACATCTCTATTATCTACTTTAAGGTCATCACATCAGAGAATAAATTGCACCATCATCTACACTTTTTATAATTGAACCAATGACATACTCTATTGCTTCTTTCTTACTAGAATATAATTGTTTAGAATTATTATCACAATATACAGCTTCATCATTATCACAAATATTTTCTTCAATACTGGCATGTTTTTTGAATATCCCTGCTATACGTTTGCTCATAATTTCTTAAACATTTTTTATGATACAATACATTTGCTGCTGATATGTCTGAAGTACTTTGCAAGTGACTTATTCGTTCGGACACTTTACTATTTTCATCATTTTTGTCTTTGTAATATGCTGTACTTTTTAAAAAATTTTCAGCTTTTAGCTTTTCACTTATTTTTGAAAAATTTCCAATTTTGGTACTATGCGAACCACACACTACACACATATTAATTTCGGTATTTCGGTTTGTTGCATTCGACTTAGATCTCGTAAGTCTGCCCGTATCAGCCACAACGTCATCACTTTCCAATGTTTCTTAATTTTCACTTTTTTTTGCGATACGATCAAGTTTTGACGAGTTTGTAAAGTTTTTGTAACATTCATTGGTCATATGGTATTTAAAAAGCACTTTACTATCTAATGAATTTACTCGATCAGATTTCTCGCACACTCTTTTCTTGGCAGCTAATCTAATTTTTTCACAACAATACTCTGAACTTTTCAGCTGATCAGGTTTTAGACACAGAATACACACGTTATCAAACATTTTTTTTTGTTTTATTCTCAGCAGAATCGCGACAAAGATATGGCTTGGACAGAAGATCAACGAGTGGATGATACGCAACGTACATGATGCACGGTGGCGTATAGATTTGCGATCGACGAGTATGACAAGTTTGCACATGCACAATATCGCGCGTGAACTTGTTTAACAGCAAAAATCCGTCTGCCATCGTGCGCCGCAGAGTAACGCTTCAGCCCATGCCATAAAACCATGTTTTTTGGCTCTTCGATAGCTACCAAATTGTCTGTAATGGAAACTCAGTTACCAAACTTTATCGGAAGTTGTATTTTAGTGTATCGATGAACCTATTACAATATTGGCTGATTTGAGGTATACGAACATATTTATTTTTTGACTTTGTTGGTCTTTTACACTATTTTTTCAATTTTAAGGGGGTTTGAGGTTATGAATGTCACACCTGAGTACAGATTTGAATTCTACAACAAATTTTACATAAAAAAGCATGGTATAGAAATTTTTTCATATGCACCCCAGAAAAGCAGAGTAACAAGCAGAATATTGTCAAAACATGAAAATCCAACTTTGAGCCCCTGCAGATCTATGAGGGCTGAACCTGGGGGGCTGTGGTGTTCAGAATTTTCATTTTTCATTGTGTTTTTGAAGAGAAAATTGTTAATTTCAACTTTATTTTTTGGGCCTGCAACACCTGTTGTGGAATAGCCCATATGCATGCAACTGAATAATAGTTATTTATGTAACAAGTGCCCAAAAAGCGTTTTTGGGCACGGGTGTGCGGAAAAAGACACGAGTGTCGGCTATGCCAGCACGAGAGGGTTGTTTTTTCGCACACTGTGCGCAAAAAGCTGGGCACGTGTTGCATACAAAATTTTATTGCACTGCGTGGCATAAGTTCACATCTATGGCACGCTTTTCGGTGGCATAAGTCGCACATTCTGGCACCGCTGCGTTCGCATCACACTCGTATACGCTCGTGCGCTAACCTCACTTCGCGCTACCAGAAAGTGCGACTCATGGCTCGGAAAAGGTGGCATAAATGTGAACTTTGCACAGTACTATAAAATGTTGTTCGATACTCGGGCCATAGGGGACACTTTTCGGCCCAGCTATTAGGACCCTCGCTGCGCTCGGGCCCTAAACTACGCCGTGCCAAAAAGTGTTACTTATGGCACTTGTATCGAAAATTACTATTTTAATGCGGTATAAGAAAGGCCTCTTAATCTCTTCTTTAAAAAAATTTCTTTTCTAGTTTTACGACCTAATTTTGTTGTTATAAAAGTTTAGAATATTCAAGCCCTTATTGAGACTTTAATGTTTAAAAAATGTTTTTCACAATGCCATAGAGTATTTTAAAAAAAATTTTGTTTTAACATACCCTGAGGTAACTGAGTAGTTAGAGGTGACGAAATTGTGAAGAAATTCAATTCCTTCGATCCATAGTGCACTGGCATTTGTCTTCCTTTATTGATATCTTTATCATTGCCAAAACACTGGTTGATAAAATCAGTGAAAGTGAATCCACGCCACAATAATACACCTTAATTTGAAAATTTATTTATGTTAATGAAATATCAACATGTACAATTACACAGGCACACAAAAAAAATGCTCAGTTCCAGAGACCGGACCCAGTTGCTTTTATGTTTTTGGGGTCGCTAAATCCGAATCCGTCGTCGGTTTTTCGCCATCAGATCGATTCAAGGTCATTTGAAGGTCAAACTATCCCTATATAGGTTTTTTAGGATGTTGAATTCAAATATGAAGTCAGATGACCTCTACAATCTTACCTTCAAGGTCATTTGAAGGTCAAACGTAGAAAATTCGATATAAAAATCCGAAAAATATATTTTTTATGTTTTGAGGGTCGCTGAATTCGAATTCAAGGTCATTTTGACAAAATGTTGACAACTACAGGTCATTTAAAGGTCATTTGAAGGTCAAATCATGAAAAAAGATTAGAAAATTAGAAAAAAACTCCTGTGTGGGTTTTCGAGGATGCTGAATTCAAATCTAAAGTCAAATGACCTCTATGATCTTACCTTCAAGGTCATTTGAAGGTAAAACTTAGAGAATTCAATATAAGAATGCAAAAAATATAACATCTATGTTTTGAAAGTCGCTGAATTTGAATCAAAGTTCATTCGTAGAGGTCATCTGACTTAAGATTTGAATTCAACATCCTCATAAACCTATATAGGGATAGTTTCAGATTTTTAAACCTATTTTTCATGATTTGACCTTTAAATGACCTTCAAATGACCTTAAATAGATCTGATCGGAAAAAACCGACGACTAATTCGGAATAAACGACCTCAAAAACATAAAATGTACTGGGTCCGGTCTCTGGAACTGAGTATTTTTTTTGTGTGCCTGTGTTATTTATTTAAAGTTCTATAACCATAATTTTTTAAATGAACATTAAATTTTGTTTGCTGGATAAGAGTTTAGATGGAATAATCACACTTGCTGCGGGAGGGAATTTACAATGAGCGATGGTTTCACTTTGTTCAATTCCGAAAAAAATATCACAAAACTTTACATTGAAATTATGCTTGTATTCAAATGTTTTTATCTGTGTCAATTTTCATCGTACCGAAACGAACTTTTTTAGATTTATTGTACATTATTTTTAATTAATTATAGTGTGCAATGACAAGCCTTAACTACTGGTCACTTCTTCATTCCCTCGTTTTTTGTTTCGAAATTCTCTCGCAGTGAGGCTCGAGAGCACGTAGAAATAAAAAAAGCACTCGTTGATAGCGGAAATAGATCCAACTGAATTTAAATAATAATCTATTATTATTAGAAATATTACCACTTTCTCGATATTGAGCAAAAACCAAATCTTTATCCGATAACGCTGCTGCAGAACCGATTTGGACGGCTTCTTCTCCAAAATTCGTCATATAGAAAGAAATACGGCCTTGCCTTTGACATTCATACAATAATTTGTCCATCAAATTAACTGATAACATTGCCTGATACATCTTAATGAGAAGACTTGAATCAACCTAAAATCAATGATGACATCAAATCAATCTTAGATCAATGTGATACATTTTAATGGTATATAGTTCCGATATAAATCAGATTAGATTGGCGAAATCAGTGATTTTTATGGACAGACCTTCGATTTTCTTTCGTTATCCTCACAACATGAAAGCTTTTCTGAAACCATCTCAGAAGCTTCTGAAAAACTTTCGGAAACTTTCATAAAGCTGTACAAAATTTACGAATTTCATACTCAAATGGTTTCAGAAAGCTTTTTTAAGCTTTCCTTAAATATTCTGTATAACTTACAAAAAGCTTTTTTAAAAGAAAATGAAAAAATGTAACGGACATAGTTACATTAAATAATTGTATAAATTAATAATGCATTGATTGTATTACTAACCACGTCTAAGTTAATTAAAAGCGAACAAAGTACACAGGCAAGCAAAATAAAAGAAGTGGAATTAATAGAATAAGTAATTAATTATTGTTGATTGGGTCGGTTAATTCAACCGTGTTCAGAGACTTTACGTGGCACCGTAGAGCTTACTAGAAATGTCGTGGTTGCTCTATAGAAGAATTGTATTTATAATTAATAATAAACAAAAGTGGGTGAATACCTAAGTGTAGTAACATTGCTAAATTGAAAAGGAAATAAGATGAGAAGGGCAGTAAAATTTGAAAAGGAGTGCGCAAAAGCAGAGGTAGAAAGGCTGATAAGAATGGTTTGGGAGCTGTAGGCGAAGGAAAACATAGATGGAAAGAGGCTTTAGGAAAATTAGGTTTAAGTTATTATAGGCACATCGAATGAGAAATAAGGCAAGGAAGAATAATAGTAGATGAATTAGAAACAAGGATAGTAAATATTACAAAGAAGGACTTATATCTATCTTTGTTTACCTCTCAAAGTAAATATTACAATTTATTTCAATATACGTACCAAAAGTTTAGAAGAAGCAGTTATCTGATATGTTGGAATTTTTTCATTATGCGATGAATCTAAAAATTTTAGTGCAGTATCAGGCTCTGAAGAACTGAATTTTCTTATGTTCTAAAACACAAAAAATGTTTATTAATCAAATTTAGCTGAGTCCAAATTTTTTTCAATAATTTTCCATCATGCTATCAGTCTATACTTTGGAACCTACATATTATTCGTTGCTCTCTTTCCTACCCATTGGGCAAAATGGTTTTAACGATCATTGATAAAATATTGTTTGTTAATTTATGATTTATTATAATTTTAATACGACAATTGTCGCTTGTAGTACGACGGAATGCAGAGTAAATGATTGATTTTTTGAAAGCGATTCAAGCCATATGAAAGTATTATCTTCGTTTTGTTATATTTGTGTTTTGCAAGCTTAACGACTTCCACTGACGGATGTAGGCCCTTAGACAAGATTGCTATCGACAAACTTCTCTCTTATTCTCTCTGGCGCAAGCCCGTTCACATTCGGTTTGTTGGTAAATCAGTCATTACTTTTATCTAAATTAAAGTTTATAGCCCTGTAATTTTGTCATAGCCAAGAGCTATTTTCGGTCTGAAGTTTTTGATGGTGCTGTTAACCCTGGTCAGTTTGGCTTATGGCATTGGCAAGTTTTCGAGAGAAGTGCGCCTACTTGGAGCGCGAGCAATTATTGCTCTTCCGTCAACGAAATTTCTTGGTCATGTGACTCAAATACACGAGCCAGGTGCTATGCTAAAGCAAGATCTTTTCCTCCGCTCGTTTTTGCCCACTCTCCAGACTCTTTGCGTATTAGAAAAGTGAAGTTTAGAGATCGATTTATTAAATGGGTAGCTTTCCAGAGCGAATAGTCATTGGCTTCGGCTGGAGAGAGTTTTTCTAAGTAACGACCAATTTGACTGTTCTTTTCTTCTTACAGAGAGATTGTCACGAACGCAATTTCAAAAATACTTGAATTGGCCCTTTTCAAAGCCACAAAACAATAAATTGCCAAGTAAACAATTAAAATGTCAATGAAACGCCAAGCTATCCTCTGTACAGACGCGCAAAAGATCAACGCCAAAGAGGTCGCCCTGATATGTAAAGAACCTGGTCTAATCTAATCTATCTAAGCTGGCCCGGTCTCTTTTAGCATAGTTATGATCAGTGGATAGAATTAGTTAGGTAATTGAACTTTTACTTGATTGTTAGCTAGCCTTTTTAGCAAATAGTTATTTGGAGCTACCAAGTCTCTCTTGTTTTCACGGTTTAATAAGGCACATTCGATAAGAAGATCGAGGGCAATTTTTTTCTTTATTGGCAGGACCTCGTTTGCTTTTTTGGAAGTCTCGGCTGTTTCCTCGTTGTCTTTCGCAACATTTTTATTCAAAAAGGTTTTTATTGAGGTCAAGATTAAGGTCAAGATTATTCCTAGTTTTACAACTGGACTAGAATTTAGTCGGAATAGTTTTTTAGGCGATTTATTTTTTTGTTTGACCTGTTTTTTCCTGCTCTTACGCTCTCTCTTTTTCCTTAGTTTATCCCCCTACGGAAAGTGATTGATGCCAAATCGTCTTTCTTCAGGTAGTGGAATTTTTTGGGTTAGATAATTATCCGGCTAGCCTATTTTTGGCTCTAGGTAAGAACTGATCTTTGCGATGACTTTCTTCGGGTACTCACGATCATCAAAAAATCACGACTGCTCGAAGAAGTACCTAGTACCCATCCAGAGTAAGAGCGAAAGTAAGATTTTAAAATTGTGATCATATTGTACAACTAGTTTTTCTATTGTGGTACTATAAAAATAATAAGATTTTAATAGAACTTGAAAAAAATGCTTACACACTTCTAATTAATATAACTGTTTCGATAGCTCTTGTATAATCAATGAATATCTCAAGTGGTAGGGAGCTGGACTCATAACCGACGGATCACAAAGCCAGGTCTCGGAGAACTTTTTCACTTCTCTAAAGTTCACAAATAAATAAATCTTATATAAATCTTATAAATAATCTAAATTATTAAGTAAATATTTCGAAAATTACTGACAATTCTTATTAAAAAAAAATCACCTGACGATTTTTTTCATTTAAAATTCACGAGGATTTCACCACAAAAAACCTCGTGGATAATTGAATATCCACGAGGTTTTCCGTATATTCACGAAGATTTCTGCGGAAAGCCGCGGGGATTGATGAAAAATCAACTAGGACCTCTGCGGAAAACAACGTGGGTTTATCGAGAATCAACGAGGATTCCCGCGGAAAGACACATGGGTTGATCGAAAATCATCGCGGATATCTCATAAATTCACGAGGCTCAAGTACGTGGACTCTTCATATGATCCATGTTCGATCCACATGGAATCAATGTCCGATCCTCAAGGAATCCCTGTATGATCTACGTGGAATCATCGTGGATAATCCACGTGGACATCCGCGCAATTTTTTTCAACTGGGATATCTAAAAATATATTGGACATGAGGTTTTTTATTTTTGCTATTATGCTTGCTGTGCGAGATATCCAAAGGTTTCCATTCTTTTGTGATACCCTGTATAATATACTCACACTGAAATCTGTTTAATTCAAAACTCTAGGGACAAGGCTAGCCATAAACGAAATTTTTTAAAAACTATTTTTAGTAATAAAATAAAGCTCGTCAATTGATACTGCCAAATAATGTCTAGTAGTCTCGCAAAAACCAAATTTTGGGTAAAGTTTTATTTTGGTCTTATGAAGAATATTTCTGAATTCTGGCTCAATCGAAGAAAACAAATACAACCTTATTTTTGGACACGTATATGCTATATTTTTATATTTGAGGGGTTTTAAGGTTTTCACTAGAATTTTCGATAACAAATTCGAATTACTCATAAAATGTTTAATCAGCGACCAGGTCAACCCTGCCCGAGTCGACTGGGTCGGTCAAGCATCAGGTCAATTTTTATACGAATCCACGAACAAACTATCACAACTAACTTGGGTTTAAGCGGAATCAACACCTTTGTAACAACGGCAGCTTAGAATTCATCCAAAATTTTCAGAATTTGGCTCGTCATTAAGTCGACCCGGCGAATCACACAGCATCTGGATCACTGCCACCAAATGTATTACGGTAGTAAAAAAGCTTATTAATTTTCCATTTCCTTATTATCGAATTTACAAAGAAAGTTTATTGATAAATTTGTGATATGAACAGTTTTTTAATAAAATTCAAGTGAAAAAACACGTTTTTAAACGAAAAAAGTACACAGAACAAAAACATTTTAAAATAAGTCAAATAACAAAAATGAATTTTTTAAAGACATTTTTGAATTTCCAATTTGACGTTTCTGCTGCATGGTTAGCTCTTTTTATTTTTAAAATTTTTTATTTGCTTGAATTTTGATTTTATTTTGATGCGCTTCTGTTAGAACTGTGCTGCGATCAGCAAACAGTTGTTTAGCTAAAAATTGAATTCGTTTTTAAACTTTGATTTAAATTTCCAAAATTTTATTTAAAGGATTCCTTGAGAAAATTTCATGTAGAATACCATACGCAAAATTTTCTACAGGATTTCTGTAAAAATTTTACAGGATCCTACAGGAAATTTTTTTCAAAGGATATTTATCGTTTCTGCATATATTTATTTAAAAAAATTTTGGAGGTAAGAAAAATAATTTCTGATTATATATTATTTTATAAAATAACTCGATACATGAAAAAATGTCAAAGTAGTCTACTTTTCATAATTGTAATTTACAGTTTTTTACATAATTGCAATTTCAATTCCAATCAAGTTTTTTTTAATGTTTATTACAACAAGATGTTTATTAAAACAAAATTTTGAATCCTAGTATAGTAGTGATTTATTAATTTTATTTATATTAATTGTAATAAGAGACTGTATTTACTTTAAATGAATCATAAAAATAATTTGTTGTAATCTTTACACTTTGTTATTTTAGCTTTTTTGTCTCTATATTTTTTTGTTTGTTTATAATTATAAATCATCCATCTTGTATTATGTATTTTTATAGATAAAAACTTTATTTTTTTCATTTGTATTTAATTTACTCATACTGATGGAATTCGTACAGGCTATAATTATTTTCTATGATTTAGAAACTTTACACCTGTAAACTATTTTATACCAGTAAAAATAATTCTTTATCCTCATTTAAAAACATCATATATTTTTTTAATATGAATATACAGTTAAAAGATGATTGTTATTAAAAAGATTTGAATGACTTTGCTCAACTTACTATTTTTCGTCCCATCAGAATTTGTGAAGTGCATTTGTTTAAATAAGATCTAAAACACATGATATACATTTTAATTTAAAAAGATTGTATTAAATTTAGTTAAATTTTTCTAACTAAATCAATAAGCTTTCTTAAAACACCAAAAAAATCTAATTTTAATAAAAAGAGAAAAGAATCTTTCATTGAATCAAGTAACAACAAAGTAACAAGAGATATTTACGATAATATAAAAAAACAATTATCTCACTTAGCAACATGAGATACATTTTCAGTTAGCGTGGTAAATTCAAAATTTTAAAGTATTTTATGAATGCATTCATATAATATGTGTATTCATTAATCACGCTTAATTATTATCCAGCATTTTCTCATACAAAGAAAATTAAATAGAGGAGAATGTTTTTCGGTATCAAGTACGCATTCAGCTATGTTTAAAATTTTTATGGCGAAATATTCAATAACCCTTATAAAAATTTCCTATAGGATCTCGCGAAATTCCTACAGGAGTCCTATAGGATTCCAATAGGAATTTCGCGGGATCCTATTGGAAATTTTTATAAGGGAATTTATGAACGTTTAAAGATGTATTTTAAAAAATAAAATTTTTAATAAGATTTATAATAATTCCAGGATCTTAAAAAAAACAAAATGATTGTGGACTTAGAAAAAAAAACTTTTTTATTTTTTAGGCTTGTAGTGCTGTAAAAATAGTAATTTACGATGCAAGTGCCATAAGTAACGCTTTTTGGCACGAAATCAGTGCACGTTTAGATAGCATAATCTTTTTCTCAATTTTCTACGCTTCTCAATTGAAGTTGTGTACAAATGTTGAGATTTATACTTATTTAGTAGAAGAATTAAAAGATCTATATGAGAATGGGATTGACGTTGTTAATGACGGGAAAAATATTAAAATGAAATTTCAATTAGTGCAAATACTTGGCGATAATTTAGGCTTAAATAGCATTTGCGGATTCATTTTTTCTTTTCGAGCGACATTCTATTGTCGGATTTGTAAGGTTTTTGCAAAAGAATGTCAAAAACTGTGTATGTGTAATGCGAGAATTATGTTACGAGATTTAAAAAAAAAAAAAAAACATGTGTATTCAATCACGTTCCTAACGATCACGTTGTCACAAATGCAAGCGTTGATATGATGCATGATGTACTGGAGAGCGTATAATGCCTTTACGTAATTAAAAATATGTTAATTGAATTCATTTATAAAAAAAAATTCATTCCATTAATAACTTTAGATAAAATCATTAAGAAATTTCTGTATGATTTAGACTCTAACAAAGCGCCTAATATCTCAATACGTTTTACAGAAAAACTAAACGTAAAATATTCTGCATCAGAGGTGATGTGCTTTTTTAAAATACTTAATGATTGGACATAAGATTCCTGAAAGTAATAAGCATTAGAAAATGTATATTACATTGAGAAAAATTGTTGAAATTGTTAAATCGCCCAAAATTGTTAGTTCTTACTTATCAAAGTTATTAGTCAAAAGTTCGAGCTTGGCCACTTTCCCTCTTCTTGGAAGGTAGCTTCAATTATGCCACTCGCGAAGACCTCATCTTTATCCTAGCCGTCTGACACGCGTCCCATCGTTCAGCTCCCGGAGATCTCAAAGGTGATCGAGCGTGTAGTTCTCTCGCGCCCGATCGCCGGACTGGTTACTGCTGCAAACTCCGAGATCGCTGCTATCTGCAGGTGGGCGAGGTCGAACCTGATACGCCTGAACTCCAATAAGGCCGGTGCTATTCTCTGTGGTGGCCGTTTCAGGAACTCGAGCGCTCTTGAAGGGGAACCTCCACAGCTGTTCGTCGACGACGTGCCAATTGTGAATTCAACGAGTCTCAAGATCCTTGGCTGAATTATCACGCCATTACTCTCATGGACTCTCCAGATGAACCGTATTAGCTCTTCGGTGCATCGCGTGCTTCATGCTCTGCGACACAATCGTCATGCTCTTCCGCATGCGCTGAGGCAGCGGCTGGTTACGGCTTTGGTATTCCCTTACCTGGATTATGCAGCGCCTCTTATCCTCGATCTGGACGCCCTTAACTCTGCGAAGCTCCATCGCCTTCCCCACTAACCCCACTAACTTTTAGTTTAGGTATCGAGGACGCGATATTTTCATGAAACCCCTAAGATTTCTAATGGTTTTCATTTAGAAATTCGAAAAATAAAAAAAATTTTTTTGTCGAAATCACGTTTTTTTTTTATAAAATCAAGTTCAACTTTTGACCTGATCACTTTTTCAAAAATCTGAGATCAGATTCTGAAAGGAGATTAAATTTTACATTAGAATTAGTTACTCGCATATTTTTTTGACCCCATTTACACCAAAAATACAGTGGCCGAATAAAGTGTTGAAAAAACGTCCTCTTGGGACTTAATGGGTTAAATCTACACCGGTCTTGTGGCACGGGTTTTTTTTCACCATTTGAGCTGAAACTTGGTAGAGGTCATTTTTTTGGGGGTTTGAAACTTTTGAAAGGGCGTCCCGTCGATTTAAAAAAAAAAAAAATATTGTCGCAGTCTAATTCACACATACACATACTCTCATATAAATTTACCCCATTCCAACACGCCACCTTAAATTTATATCAATATTACAATTTTGAATTATTATAATACTTAGATTTAAATCATTAATTATATTGAATAACAAAATTAAACATTACTTTAACTGTTACAATCTGTTTACAATTAACTTATATACACCCTTATAAAAATTTCCTATAGGATCTCGCGAAATTCCTACAGGAGTCCTATAGGATTCCAATAGGAATTTCGCGGGATCCTATTGGAAATTTTTATAAGGGCAATAACAATACAATATACATATAAAATTAACTTATATTTAACATATCTCTAAATTTTATATGCTTCTCCTTACCAAGCGCCTTAGTAAATATATCTGCGACATTTTCACTTGTGTCTATTTTACACACCTCAATTTCCTGATTTTTTACACTTTCATGGACAAAATGATAATGTATTTCAATATGTTTCAAATAACATATTTTTTATACGCTTTACCTTTTCTTCATTTATCGTATTACTACATATTAACAAATCATCGACATAAATTAAAATAAACATTTTTTCTTCTCCTTCATATATGAGCAATTCCGGAATTTAGTTTCGAATTTTTCGACTAAAAACGGAACAATTTTTTTTCGTTGGACGCATACTTTGAACATTGGGTATTGTTCTTGAAGGTCCTAGGAAGCTAAAAAAATGCGTGAACAATCGAAATTTTAATAGGTAATTTTTTTATAAGCATTTGTGTTCCGAGGAAAAATAATTAGTGCAGGCAAAACGCGCGCTCCATTATCCACCGATCAAAACTTTTCTAATTCGCTGGTAAATCTACTAGTGACGTTGAAAAAATAATCGACACATGTATTTTGAAAGATTTTTACATGCTCTTTCCGATGGTGACCTTAGATTTTTCGAAAAACGCATTATATGGCCAAAAAAACGGCTCAAAATTCAAGCGTATTTATACAAAAAAAAACACTTTTTTGAGCTATAAGCATATATAGGAGGGTGGTCCACTTTTTCAAAAATTTTTTGTATCTCGGGGGATCCATCGAAATCAGAAAATTTGAGGTTTGAAATGAATTTTCCCATAAACTAGAACTCAAAAAAATGATTTTAGATGGTGTCGATGGATTTTTGAAGTTTAAAAACGAGCTCCAAAAAAGAAGTAAAATCGGGCTATCATTCGATTTATTTCAAACTCTGTTTAGAGTGTAAAAATAATCTTGACAATACATTTTCTTATTTGTTTTTATCAGCAGAATTGAATGCTGTAGTCAGTTTTGACCTAGGAGCACAATTTCATTCAAAAAAATACACTTTTTCGATCGTTCTTTTTCGCAAATTCCGCAAAGTTCATTTTCGAGCGAGTGGCAAATGAACAGAAAAAATCTAGAAAATTCTTTGACACCACCAAAATTTAGGATTTTTTATGACGAATCTAATGGTATAAATAAGTAGGGGAGAGGCGGGTAGGTGGAACATGGCTGGTAACCGTGTCACCCCCATAAAAAATGCAATTTTCAACTTAAAATTATGAAATAAATTTTTTCATAGTCCTTTCATCATTTATGATATTTATACGAAAAAAAATTTTTCAAAATCCATTTTTTTTAACAAAAAAAAAATTGTTGAAAATTTTTGACTAAAAAATCCAATATAACCAATATTTCAACTGAGTAGCAAAACGATTAAAAACATTTTTTTGCTTTTGAAATTTATATCACTAGAAAGCTAGAAGCTTGAACTTTAATTTCCTTTTTTTTTAATTCTTCTACGATTAATATTAAAAAAGTTATTAACAAAATAAAGAAGGTACTCAAACCGGGCGCGAGGGTCACCTTCCGTCGGGCACTAGTGTCACGTGACGACCTATCAATAACCCATTCACGTCCAGAATAATGAAATTTTTTGTTCGTGATCGACGCGATTTTTTTTTATATTTTGAAACGCAAAAAGATTTTGCGCATACATAATTTCATGTAGAATTTAATGCCCTTTCAGAATCCGGGCTCAAATGTAAGATTTGATGCTTCGTCAAAAAGTTATGGTTGTTTAAACAAAAACAAACGTAAAAATTTGCGCGAAAAATCAACTTAAAGAAATTTTTTCCAAGTGTTGCAGTATAAAATTCGAGGTATAAATATGATGAGTGGTAATTATGGATGTAGAAGTACCGTAAGGAATTTTCCTAAATTTTTTTAGCTACTTTTTCTAACAAAATGGCGTGCCTCAAGTGAAATGTTTATAAAAAACCAAACTTGACTTTTATCTTGAAAACCATTGGGTTTAGAGAAAAAGTTTATAGAACAAAAAAGTCTTAAAATTTATCAAAGAAAAGCCCCAAATTTTTTCAGAATTTTCGGAGACGATTTTCAATTTTCCGACAATTCGTCGAGTGCAATCTCTTAAAAAAATCTCGAAAAATTCTGAAAATATTTGAGAATGTTTCTCGATAAATTTGGAGACTTTTTTATTCCATAAACTTTTTCTCTAAACTTCATTGTTTTTGAGTTGCAATGATCGTTTCAGATTTAAAAAATTTTAAAAATTCGCTTCAGGAAGCAAGTTTGAAGTTATGGTGTCACTCATGCCCGTCTCTCCCCTATACACTTTGAAATTATTTTAATGCAGAAAAAT